GCCTGGGCCATGCTGAAGACGCGCTATACCAAGCTGGATCCTAATCACATGGCTCGTGTCGGACTAGAGGGGGAGGGGGCGCGCAGCTGCCCTAGCCGCCCCTCCTCTTCTCGCACTAGGGCCCAATAGGCCCAATAAACTCCCCGGGGGGGGGGGGGTTCCGGTAACCCCCGGTACTCCGGTATATGTCTGAAACCTCCCGAAACACTTCCAGTGTCCGAACATAGTCGTACAATATGTCGATCTTTACATCTCGGCCATTTAGAGACTCCTCTTCATGTCCATGATCATATCCGGGACTCCGAACTACCTTCGGTACATCAAAACACAAAAACTCATAATAACGATCGTCACCGAACTTTAAGCGCGCGGACCCTACGGGTTCGAGAACTATGTAGACATGACCGAGACACGTCTCCGGTCAATAACCAATAGCGGAACCTGGATGCTCATATTGGCTCCCACATATTCTACGAAGATCTTTATCGGTCAAGCCGCATAACAACATACGTTGTTCTCTTTGTCATCGGCATGTTACTTGCCCGAGATTCGATCGTCGGTATCTTAATACCTAGTTCAATCTCGTTACTGGCAAGTCTCTTTACTCGTTCCGTAATACATCATCCTGCAAATAACTCATTAGTTACAATGCTTCCAAGGCTTACAGTGATGTGCATTACCAAGAGAGCCCAGAGATACCTCTCCGACAATCGAAGTGACAAATCCTAATCTCGATCTATGCCAACTCAACAAGTACCTTCGGAGACACCTGTAGAGCACCTTTATAATCACCCAGTTACGTTGTAACATTTGGTAGCACACAAAGTGTTCCTCCGGTATTTGGGAGTTGCATAATCTCATAGTCATAGGAACATGTATAAGTCATGAAGAAAGCAATAGCAACATACTAAACGATTGAATGCTAAGCTAACGGAATGGGTCAAGTCAATCACATCATTCTCTAATGATGTGATCCCGTTTATCAAATGACAACTCATGTGTATGGTTAGGAAACATAACCATCTTTGATCAACGAGCTAGTCAAGTAGAGGCATACTAGTGACACTCTGTTTGTCTATGTGTTCACACATGCATTATGTTCCAGTTAATACAATTCTAGCATGAATAATAAACATTTATCATGAAATAAGGAAATAAATAATAACTTTATTATTGCCTCTAAAGCATATTTCCTTCACCCACCATCTAGGTATACTCTGTCTGCAGGAAATAAAAATCTCCACCTGGACTGCTGATTTGGCCAGAGAGGTTGGAGGCGCAAAACTCAGAGATTGCAGAGTTCTGCCTGCTTTCGTCACCAGAGGAGGTGATGTCATCTTCTGGGACCCTGATGTAGTGGAGATCAACTCCCAAGCGATCGGGAAGTTTGCTATAACTGCTCAGGTCAGCCTCAAAGCATCGGGCAAATCTTTCTGGTTAACAACTGTCTATGGGCCGACAGATGATGAGAGAAAAGATGATTTTCTGACAGAGATAAGAAGTACTGCACCTCTAGTTGGGCAACCTTGGCTGATTAATGGAGATTTCAACATAATTTATGAAGCCAGAGACAAAAACAATGACCGTATAAACCGCAGAATCATGGGCAGATTCAGAAATGCCATTGACTCGGCTGAGCTCAGAGAAATCAGGTGCAAAAACAGAAGATTTACTTGGAGCAATGAAAGGGATAGGCCAACCCTTGAGAGCATTGACAAAATTTTCTTTAATATCAGTTGGGAAGCTCTTTTTCCCTCAGTCATCTTGATGGCTTCTTCTACTACATGCTCAGACCACTGCCCTCTCCTCCTAGCGGATGCCACCACCCCAAGGAAAAAAGCTAAGTTCCAGTTTGAATCCTTCTGGCCAAAATTTCCCCCACGAGACAGTGGACAGAGCTTGGAATAGACATGTAAATCACTCCTGCGCTTTCATAAGATTGAAGCTGAAGCTGAAGCTCTTAAGGACAGCAAAAGATCTAAAAATTTGGAGCAAGTCCCTTTTCAGTGTTGCAAGGCTACAATTCCACATTGCCTCTGAGATTATCCTACGCCTCGATGTTGCCCGAGAGACTCAGTTGCTGACACCTCTCGAACTCACCCTAAGAAAGAAGCTAAAAACAAGACTGCTCGGGCTGGCAGCTATCGAACATGTCAGAAAGAGGCAGGCATCAAGAACTACCTGGCTGCGCGCGGGCGATGCAAATACAAAAAATTTCAATGCAAAGATCAATTCAAGGCGCCGCAAAAACTTCATCGTTGCTCTGAAAACTGATGAAGGACTGGTCACTTCTCATGATGACAAGGAGGATTACATTTTTGATCACTTCAATGGCCTACCGGGCTCCAAGCAGGAATGTACAAAAATTATCAATTGGAATGAGCTCCAACTGTTGTCAATCAAGGGTGGGGGCTGGATAACCCATTCAGTGAAGAGGAGATTTGGAATGCTATAAAAGCCATGCCCCTCGAAAAAATCACCAAGCCCCGATGGTTTCAATGGTGTTTTCTTCAGAGATTGTTGGTTAACGATCAAACACGACATACTTGCGATTTTCCATCAGTTCCACCACCTAGCGGGTGATTTCAAACCTCTGAACAAGGCTTTGGTTGCTCTTCTACCAAAGAAAGATGGCGCTGAAAAAAATTGCAGATTACCGCCCAATAAGCTTAATTCACTCAGTGTCCAAGCTTATCGCAAAGGTGTTGTAGCTCAGACTGTCGCAAGTGATCGAGCAGCTAATCTCACCAGCCCAGTCAGCCTTCATGAAGTCTAAATGCATCCATGATAGCTTCCTATATGTTCAAAATGTTGTCCGATCGCTGCACCGTCGCAAAACACCCGCCCTGCTCATCAAACTAGACATTGTCAAGCCTTTCGACGACGTCTCCTAGGAATATCTGCTCCAACTCCTAGATAAGTTAGACTTTAGTGCTAGATGAAGGGACTGGATTTCGACGCTTCTAGTTAGTTCTTCTCCGGCTTTCATCCTAAACGGCTGCTTTGGACATGATATTGACCACCGTAGAGGGTTGCAGCAGGGAGACCCGCTCTCGCCTTTGCTTTTGATCCTCGCCATTGACCCCCTCCATCGTCTTCTAGAGAGAGCAGAGGAGCGGGGCTTGCTCACCCCCCTGCCGGGTAGGATAGGGACCCTTAGAACTTGCCTCTACGACGACGACGCCATCGCCAACCCCTCTCGCCAGGAGATCGACAATCTGCTTCTACTGCTTGATAACTTTGGGAAGGCCATGGGGCTCCGCATCAACCTAGGAAAATCTTTAGTAGCACCGATTAGCTGCAGCGACATCAATCTTCAGGACGTGCTACATGGCTTTGGCGGTCCGGTGATCGGCTTCCTGCTGCGCTACTTAGGGCTCCTCATTACTATCTCCCGCGTCCGCCTGGTTCGTCTCCAATTCATACTTGATTGCATAAGAGCCAGACTGGCGGCTTGGAAAGGATGCCTCATGTCGATTGCAGGCCGTAGGGTTCTTGTCCGATCCGTCCTAACGGCGCTGCCAACCTTTGCTCTGACGGTGCTACGCGCTCCAAAGAAGCTGCTCAAAGACATCGACAAGTGCAGGCGGTGCTTTCTTTGGGCTCATGACGAGGACCTCTCCGGTGGCAAATGCAAGGTCAACTGGTCCACCGTCTGTTCCCCGACGGACTACGGTGGCCTCGGCGTTCTTGATCTGTAGCAGTTTTCTCGCGCGCTAAGGCTCAGGTGGCTCTGGTTCCGCTGGCGCAACCCCGGTCGGCCTTGGGCGGGCTCGGAGCTGCCCTGTGACGACACGGACAAGGAGCACTTCGCTGCAGCAACAAAGGTGACCATAGGCAACGGGGAAACTGCATCATTCTGGAGATGTGCCTGGCTGGGATCAACGACCCTGAGATCTCCTTCCCGGCCCTGTACGCTCATGCTCGGAGAAAAACAGATCGGTTAGGGAGGCCCTCTCTGCTGACACCTGGATCCGCAACCTTGCCCCCAGAAACACCAACGCTCTGCTCCATGATTTCCTTTTGTTGGCCAGATGCATCCGACTCGCCGCCGTGCAGTTGCAGCCAGAGATCCCTGATAAAATCACTTGAAAATTTTCAGCTTCAGGAAACTACATTGCTGCCTCGGCCTACAACATGCAATTCATTGGCATGATTAGATCTCCTCAGAACAAACTTGTTTGGAACACCTGGGCTCTTGGAAAAATCATGATCTTCTGCTGGTTATTGCTCAAGCAAAGAATCTGGTGTAACGACAGACTACAAAGAAGAGGATGGCCAAATGGATACTTCTGTCAATTTTGTCTCAGAAACCTGGAAACGGCGACGCACCTCTTCTGGCAGTGTCACTTTGCTAGGGAGGTTTGGCAAAGGCTTGCGACATGGACTGGATGTGCCGCCGTCGACCCGGCTAGATGATAGCTGCTACCAAACTCCACTCAAATCGTCACCAAGATGATCGAGGACACCACCCCTGCTTTTAGAAAAGGCGTTAACTCCCTCATCCTTCTGGCGCTGTGGGAAATCTGGAGGGAAAGAAACAGCTGCACTTTCAGGGACAAGGTGGCCTCCGTCTCTAAGGTCGCTGCATCCATCAGAAGAGCGATCAACTTGTGGCGCGCCGCTGGCGCTACATGCATTGAGACCCCGTTCGGGGACATGTCGGGAGATATGTAACTTTGAGACCTCTAGTTTTTGTATTTTCTCTTTGTTTTCTTTTCCCTTCATTCCTTGACCTACGGGTCACCCCCGCCATGTTTGCATTCTCCATTGCTCTCTGCTAAATCAATGAAAAGCCAGGAATTCCTGGATCTTTCAAAAAAAACTCTGCCACATTGCACCCAGTACAGTTCTTCTTGTTCTAACAAATTCTAAATTTGCATATGAAGTACCAACTAGTTGTGTTTAAAAGTTGCAGCTCACGGTGGACAATAACATCCATTCATTCTGGTTATATAGGGCCAACTAATAAATAGACGCCTGAATTTTTTTCCTTGCGTTTAGTCAAATCGCTCTCCACTGTCCGATCGAGATCCAAAGGCCCAGCTGCCTTCTTCTTCATCCAGCCTTCTTCTTGCCCCCTATAATAAAGCAAAAATAAAAACAAAAAAAATAAAGTTTCCTAAAAAAAGAATGAATTGGTGGCCTTGCTATTACCCTTGCAGAAGAAAGAAAATAAAAAAAACTTATAACAAATGATGACGAAAACATGCACACAATTTGCACAGTAATTGCACTTTTTAATAATATATGAAAGAATAAACATATAATGTATAATTTTCCCGCTCTAGTATAATTTACACACATATTACATAGTACTTATTTGTATACTTGCACAAACCCCAAATCCACACATACACATAATTAAAGAAAAAAACGACCAACCCGCCACCCACAGGCTTGCATTACATTACATTACGAGACATTACGACAATATGAGTAAAATCCGAGCAAGCAATTAATCGACCACATAATAGGATGCGTGGGACTTTCAATGAGCTCAGTGGCGGCAACATCGATCTTGGTGGCTCACCAGTGTTCCCGTAGGACCTGTAGCACATGGTTACCCAATTAATGCACATTACAAGTTATATTTCTAGCTGAATAATTAAGTAACACACTAGTCTAGTATGTAAGGAAAAAGAAGGAAAGTTATGTCATTCATCATATTTTTCTCTCTACCAAACTTGTTCAACTGAAATGGGGATATTTTTAGAAAAATGTTTAGTATTTGTTGAGTGGATTCAAATTTATTCTTATATTACTTTAGCCGATCCCTCAAAACTTAATCCACCATTCTTCAATTCCTCATTTTTTGAAGGATTAACTTTTTGTCTATCTAGTTGATCCTCAAAGCTTAATGCCTCAAAAAAAATCCCAAAATAATTTTGTCACACAAGTTCATTTCAAACACAAATTTAAATGACTCCATTGCATAATTAAACAATGGTAGCACATTAATATCATACCTAACATAATTAAATAGTCTATTACCTACTAACACTATCTCGATATTGAACTAGCTAATCATCGAGATAATAAACTGAATAGAACTACAGTACAAAGGAGCTCTACTCCTCAGAGAAGTCCGACTCGGAGGAGATGGGGATCCACACCAACCCCCCTCGAAGGGGCCGGCCTCGTGGTAGTTGGCGGTGGACCGACTCCATGGCATTGAGTTGTCCTTCTCCTCCTCGTCGTTTACGAGCTCGTGAAGACCCTCGAACATCTCCTCACGCTCGGCTTTGAGGCGGGTGATCTCGCGGTGCTCGCGGACAATTGTGTGTGCGTTCCCTACGGACTCAAAGAACGTGTTGTTCTGAGTGAGGATCTGCGGATGCTCCTCAAGGAGAGTGGCCACGAAGACGACATCAGCGCGCTTGGCCACAAGCTACAGCTCGGTCGCTTGATGCTCCTTCTCCTCAGCCCAGGAGGCGACCCTCATAGCTAGAGGCAAGATGGCGGCCGCTGCTAAGGTGTCGATGAGGAAGTTTAGCTTCACCCTACTCCAGAAGAAGCTGAGCGTGGAGGTATCACAGGCATGCACTGCTTCTTCTACATTGGCAAACATGCCAATTCACACACATGTCGACGCGTCTGGGTACTCTGGGTTACATATCTTATATATGCGCCCACTTTCCCCACGGACGGAGCCTCACATCGTGGTACTTCAGTGGCGGCTTCGACATGTGAGGCGCCGTGGGTGCTCGTCGACGGTGATGATGGGGGAGGTGGTGGCAGCGCGGGGCTCGGGAGGCGATGGATGTCGAGCGGCGGCCACGACCACGAGGTCGAGCTCGGCGGTGTCGATAGTCAAGCGGTGGACGTGACCTAGAGCCTGGCGGCAGCAACCCAAATCGGGGGCGGCAACGACCAAAATGGATGGGTGGTGGGGTGGGCTAGGTTTTGGGGTCGGCGGCACCGGGTTTCATAGCCGGAGGCTAGCCAATCTCATGACATTCCATTGGCTCGACCAGTAAGCAAGGTCGAAAACTTGACCATGGTTTCCTGGTAGAAACCCATTTCACCCCCAAGTTGTTGCGAAACCGAAAAAGAAGTGGTTTTCCGCACATCTTGCTCATTGTGTTGGTCCCACTTTTCTATTTATTTGGCCAAAAATGCATCGGACAAGTTGGATTTCCAACCTTCATGGGACTCCATGGAACAAAATCTTGGTTGGTGCCCCATCCGCCACACCATGAATGCGGGAGGGGAGTGGCCTCCCCATTTTTTTTTACTGAGAATTGCTCTTCTTGGAGCAAAAAATGAGGTAGAGGGAAAATGTTTGAGAGATAAAAAGCTATTTTTGAGGGACTAAAGGAAATGAGGGATATGCTAGATGGGTGTTAATTCCTTGAAACAAAAATTTATGCCCCAGATATAACTTTTGGGGGATCAACTAGACTTGATCTTAGTTCTTAATTTCATCACTCTCATTTGTACTCTACCCTGCCTAAACAAAATATAGTCTAACCTAATATATGATATATACTGGTAGTAATACAATATATGTAGCCACACTTGGTTAAAAGTTTGAATTGAATGAATGAATGATCGAGCATTAGTATATGTGAAACATAAGTGATACTACTAAGACATTTCAGAAGGATGGCGTTACCTGTTTTTGCTCGAATTGGTCGGCATTGACTATGCCAGCATGAAACAGCAGAGCCCAGAGATGCGTGATGAACTCACCACCCCGTGAGAGATGATCAATGTGCTCCTTCACATTATCGGAAGGCGCGGCATAGAGCAACCTATTGGTCCAGAATCTTGCCAGCTCCTCCCATAGAACAAACACAGGCCGGTTTTCGAGACTCCTCCCTAGTTCCATGCCCTTCCGAAAAACTGATTCTTCCTTGGAGAAATCTGATTCTTCTTCATTCGTAATCACCCCTGTTGTTGAGTCCATATGTTTCATTGCCTCATATTTGTCTTTCGCCCCACGTAGTAAATGTCTTGCTTCCCGTGCGGCTGCATTATAAGCAGATTTTGTCTCCAACGGGTTCGGAGGAAGCAACTGTGGCGCGGAGACAATCAAGTGTGCATAGTACTTGGACAACGTTGTGGCAACATCAAAATACACTGCTAGCTTCTCCCTCTCTTCTTCTACAGGGTGCTCATCAAGCCACTTCTTGTTTTTTGACTGCCCCATTTCTAGGTAACAAGTCGCAATGTGACAAGCCATAATAGTTCTCGGTCCATTTTTCCTCTCCGAAAAGACACCAATTGTCGGCCAAGTCCAAGACCAAGTACCTAGATCACCATTGTCAATAAGGCAGAGGCGCATATAAGAGTCAACAATGGCTTCCTTCACGTGTGTGGTCAACAGAACATGATTGCCTGTAGGACTGCCAAACATTTCCTCGTAAACTTGCTCAATGTACCGCAACCCAAATATCCTTGAAAAAGTGATGCATTCCTTGAATGCACGTTTCACAAACGTGGCCAACACACACTCTTTTGTGCTGATTGCTTCAACAAATGAATATTGTCCAAGCTTACGTTGCCAGACATAGCCGGCGAAAAAATTAATCTTGCTCATAAATTCTTTAAACCTCATTTGGCAGCCCCCGTCTCCATTTTTGATAGACTGACACACAAGGGCAACTTTAGACCAGTTGGATGTCCAACACCGTACCAACTGCATCACTTGGAGCAAAACAATGGAGACCAGTATTACTAGAGTGATGACAAGGTCATATGATGCGGTCGTCACAACAATAGTGTCGCCAGAAATATGTGTTCTCCTTGCCCCAGGTATGATAGTCGCAACTCCCACAAATATTATGCCAATGATTGAGGCAAATGTCCAAATTGTTGCAACTTTCGACTCATAGTAATGAAGGAAGGCATTGTTGGTGAAAAATATGTCATAGAGAAAATACAACTCAACCTCGATGACGTTAAATGCCCTCTCATAGTCAACAGTGCCATCATCCCTTTGTACAAGCAGGCCTTTGTTGACAAAATCCTCGGTCTCATCAAGGCGGGACTCAGCACATGCAAACCCGAAGAAACGTCGTTGCAACAAATGGCATAGGGAGAAGGAGAGGCAAACATCCTTGTAATAATCGGTGCTTCGTCCTGATGAAGTGAGGGTGCAAAGCCATATCTTGTTTGTAGTGATGACTTCATTACCCTCCAATATGTTGTTTCTTTTTCTGAAATGGTCTAGGGGCCAGTCGACAACGTACTTAGGGTAATCTCTCATAATGACGTCACCATCATGACTTCTTGAATGGCTCTCTCCCATGTAATCAGCAATCAATTTGTTTACATTCCGCAATCTGCTTGGCAACACACTTGCTAGTGATCTGTGAAAGCCCTTAATGAAAGTGATGGCACACAGAACACCAATTGCAATGTTACCTACATCAGTGGAGATGGTGGATATACCAATTAGTAGGACATATCCACAATAGAGGCAGAGCTGGTATAGCAACTTCAGGAACTGGCTGTTGTGGTCAAGGTTGTACCCACTGATTGAGTCAATGCTGCCGAAGAGGGTGAGCAAGGATACGGCCCAGATGGGGTACATTTCACTCTTCACCGACGAGGACTGCATTAAGCCAATGCTGTATGTCCCGAGGGACAATGATAATGCATTTGCAACCAAGACACCTTTTTGAACAATCCAGTGGTTGGACCAGCGGCGGCTGGACCCAAAAGCCACAAAAAAGAAGGAGAGGGCAATGGCCACCAATGCAAGCACCTCAATACGAACCACTGTTCCTCTAGGGCTCTTCCACAACTCACTCAGATTGCCTAAATGGTGCTCCATGCCTCCTTCTCCGCCCCCCCGTAATCCACCCTGAAAGAAACATATGTGTGGGTATAGTAAGACTACCCACCAATGTAGAATTACTACTAGGTGAGCTTAACATTGCTTGACCATGGCTTAACATAAATTCTCATCATTAGACAATTTTCATGACTGAATACTAAAATGTGATCTTTAATTTTGATGCAAAAACACGCATTCCATTGCCCTGTGGATTTTTTTTTGCGAGTATGCCCTGTGGAAAAACAACAAATTATGTGCATAAGAAGTTGCTATTCTAGCCATTCGCTCTTGCCTTTCTAAACAAACATAGTTGCTCACTAAAACTAGCAAGCACTATTGTGGTCACCGTACTGCGTACAAGTTTATTTGCCATGTACGTACCAGGAATTCTTGTTCTTCTTCTTCTGCTGCTGCTCTTCCCTAGGCTTTGCTTCAGGCAGGAGACGATGGAGGAAGAAGACAGACGAAGGAGATCTGCCTGTCTGTGTGGGATTTCAGCTGGCTCGCCAAAGGTCCTCTTGCTTACACGATGGGCTTGGAATATAATAAAGTTACTCTTACTCCAGCCATGTGTTTGGAATAACTTTATTTAGCTAACTTTAGCTACCCCAGAGAGTGTATCATAGCCTCTCTTTTTCGTTTTGTTTTTTCCTCTTTTTTTTCCAGCTGAAGCCTCCTCTCATTCTACCTGCCACGTCTCCATGAGTTTTGGTAACTATGATCCTTATGTCTTAATTTGCATGATCCCAATAAGTGTCTTTGTTGACTGGAGGAATGGATCGGATTTTATATTAGTATTACTTTAGTGCTTAAGAGCAACTACATCAACTTCCTTAAAAAAACTTCCTGTAAAACTGGTTTTATGGGATGACCCTAAAATTCAGGGGAAGTTGTTCAAGAGCTACTTTTGATAGTTCCCGCAAACTTCTTCCCGCCATTCAGTGACGTGTGACGGCCACCGGCGAGGGGCGGTGCGGGCGTGGCCCGGGTGGCGGCATGTCAGCTTTCCGGCAGGGCGCACAATAAAGTTTCAGGTTGTTTCTAGCCCACCAAAATTACACCGAAGGATTATCTTCCCGTAAACCCGAGGGAAAAAAGTACCTAGTTTACAGGATCCCCTTAAGATGTGGATGATTTACGAGAACTATTTGAGAGGGTTTTTGCCCCAAATTCCCGTAAACAATGTTTTTTTATGAATAAGGGAGTTGTTGGACTTGCTCTAATTTAATCACTCCTTTTGTACTCATGCCCACCTTATAACAATGTAACTAATTCATTTTTGCTTCTTTCATGCTGAAAGGAACACTTTTTAAGTTAGAAAACACGTAGAAAGAGTGTCAACTAATTGTTTGGGTTTATCTTGGCATGCATTATACTCCCTCCATTTTTATTTACTCTGCATATTATCTTTGACCTAAGTCAAACCTTATAAAATTTGACCAAGTTAACTGAAAACACTCTAAACTTCCACACTAAAAAATATATGGTATAAAAAGATATAGCATGATGATTATAATGATATTGACTTGGTACCGTGGATGTTATTTTTTAGGGTTTTTATCATTTATGCCACTACTTGTGTCTCACTACTCAGTTTTGCCACTAGGAGTTTCAACTGCTCAAAATGTCATCGCTTTGTTAGGCGCATGCTAAAAAATGCGAGAGACACCATTACTATCAGCTCAAAGCCCATTTACCATGTTATATGGCCAAAATACCCATGGACCAACATGTCAGGTTTCCCTCTATCTCATGACGATAAAAGTGTGGGTCCTACTCCATCCTCAATAGTGTTCTTATTTTTCACTAAAATTATTCGCTTGCTTACTCCTGACAAGTGGAGGCCACACTTATCATTGTGAGATAAAGAGAGTTGACATGTGGGTCTAGGAGTATTTTGGTCATATAAGGGCATCTCCAAGGTGGACCTGCAAACTGCCCACAACCGTCCAGTCCGCGTTGTCCGGCCACCACACCACACCCCTACTGGAACTCTACCTCTCCGTCACCTTAAGCGCTCCAGCAAGGCTCCACCTCGCTTCTCCTCCGTCGCCATTCAACCTCTTTCCTACGACCGCCCCTCCAAGTACCATCCACTACTGGTGTACTCACCATGCCCGATAACTACTCGTTGAATCGCTAGAGCTAAATACAGTTTTCCCTTCTTTCTAGCAATGCATTCTGCTTTGAAGTACATATACGAGTAGTATGTTGAGTTGTCCGACAACTCGTCCGACGAGGAGGAGTACTTCAATGAGACGGTGATGATGCAGGCGGTCCTTAAAGACGCGCAGCATGCCGAGGAGCATGCTCTCAATTTTAAGTGCTCGATCAAGGGTCATCGAGTGCTCAACCGCAATAGGACGCGCGACCATTTGACACTGATGGCCGGCTACTTTGCCCCCTATGCACTCTCCGTTGACCATTTTCGCCGGCGTTTTTGGATGCACAAGACTGTCTTTGATTGTTTGTACCATGGGCCTCTGCTCCTACGATGACTACTTCATCCTAAAGTGCACGCCCGCACTCCGGATGCTTGCATATGGCACGGCCGCTGATTCGTGGGACAAGTACCTACGAATGTCTGAGAGCACATGCGAAGATGACATGGTCAGGTTTGCAACTGTCGTGGTCGAGGTGTTCGGACCTCGGTACCTGAGAGAACCAACTACGATAGACACCGGGAGTCTCTTAGCAATCTTAGAAGCAAGAGGGTGGCCATGTTTTCTTCGATCTCTTGACTGCATGCATTGAAAATGGAAGAACTGCCCGAAGGCTTTACAAGGGCAATATCAGGGTCATGTTAAGAAGCCCATCATCATTCTTGAAGCAGCTTGCATCACAAGATCTTTGGATTTGACACTCTTTCTTTGGCATGTCCGGGGATTTGGAGTTCTTCAGGCCCGTTTTGTAGTTGTTCATGGGCCTGCTAAACAAATGGGATCCGAAGACCTTGTGGGAGGTGATGACATGTTGCATGATCATGCACAACATGATCATTGAGGATGAGGGCGACCATGCTGCCGTAGCTCTAGAATTTGAGAACATGGATGATCCTATCCAACTTCCAAGCCAGAATTCGGCCACATTTGAAGAGTTTATTCAAATGCATCAACAAAAGTTTATTCAAATGCATCAACAAATTCGGCATCGACCAACTCACAAGCAGCTGAAGGAAGATCTGATTGAACATCAGGGGGCAGTTAAATGGGAAAACAATATTGGGATGTAATATTTGAAATTTTTAAAATTTGAAGTATTGTTGCATGGGCAATTTGAACGTTTGTATCCTTTGTATGTGGCTATTTGATCGTGTAGATTAAAAAAATGAGGAAGGTTGGATGCATGCGGCTACGTAGTAATGGCGGCCTCCCGCATCCATGTCCGCAGACTCGTCCCCCTGTCCGCGGACGGATATGGGAGGAAATTTGCGGGTTACTGTTGGAGATGCCCTAACATGGTCAACGGGTTTGACCTAACAATAACGATGTCTAATGTCAGCAAACATCTAAGGACGATGACATTTTTAGGTGTCTAATGACATTTTTGAGCAGACATCTCATGGGGCGATGGAATTTTTGACAATTTTTAATTTCTAATAGCAAACTGAGTAGTGGGACACAACTAATGGCATAAATGATAGAAACTCTAACTTTTTTTTATAAACTTGATCAAAGATTAGGAAGTTTGATCCGAGACAAAGCTAATATGCGAAGTAAATAAAAACGGAGGGAGTACATAGGCTGGTGTGCAATCTAATTAAGCAATGCAACTTGAAGACAAATTTGGTTCCAATTGAACTCACACGAATATACCTCCTTCTATAAGCTACTACAAGTATGCTTTTTTTTTGCACAGAAATCATACTAATACACGACCCGTAATCGCCATGCGCTGGGTGCATTTTAAATTTTTTTAATAGCCGTTTGATCTTCCGTCAGATCAACCTTGGCCCTCCTGAACTGAACTGTACTGTTTTTTGTTTACTGCGCCTGTCGTGTGTCTGTGGACTGGCCGACGGCTCTTCGAGGCTGAGTGCATATCTGGTGATACGGTCCAGAATATGCTACCGTGCTCCAGGATAATTTCGTGCGTTGGATCTGGGCGAAGGGACAAGATTGAGCAAATATTCAGTTTACACCCTTGTTTTTTCTGCAATTCAGGGTCAAGTGCATATCCCTTGGTTCATTTGCTCCCCTTGTTCCGTTCGTCTCCTTCGATTGGTTGTTTCCCCAGCGCCGCCGACCACCATGGGGCATGTCCCAATGCCGCCGGCCACTATAGCTTATTCATTTGATGTTCTAATGAATTTCACTAGGAAGAAGGCCCTGGAATATGCATGTTTTTTTGCAGTGAATTCTGTACCTGAAATAGGTCCTTAAATAAGTATGTTAGTTTTTATGTCAGAAATGTTTTTTAATGGTTGTTGCCATGTTCATTGGCTGTGAAATACTGTCCAGCTCTTTTGACTGAGAATAAATATCTACAAGGCTGGGCATCGCTAGAACCTCTTCCCTATGATACGTAGGGCTGCAAACGAGTCGAGTTCGAGCGAGTTGGATTTGACCCAGCTCAACTCATATCAAAATTCGAGTGAGTTCAGGCTGAGTGAAACTCATGGACAAGCTGTAGAACATGACTCGTGCTCAGCTTGTAACGATATCGAGTTGATCTTAAGCTAGTTTCGAGCTAAATGAGACGATAAAAATTATAAAATCTACTACTATTATTCCAACTAGATAAATGTAACATCCCAAATTTTCAATTTGAAATGTTACACATTAGATCATCATTGCATATCATATTTTATTGCATTTTGGTGTGATCCTAGAAATTCTACGCAACTCAAGGACCTACGGAGAGAGTTGAGGATTTTATTATTTTCATATTCGCGTTTTCGCGAATTTTGAAAAGAGGATCGTTCGATTTTAATTATTTTCTCTTCGAATATTTCTTTTATAAAAATAAAGAGAGAGGATAAAATGACTTCCTCAAAA